AACAGAAATCTCATGAACCAATGGGGAGAAAAACTTTAACCATGAATTAAAGGGAAGAACAGTGTAGGTAAGAAGTACCATCTCTCTGCCCAGATTCAGTGTTGGGGTCTGAATGAAATTTACAAAAGACGAGAGAAAACAATGGATTTCATTAAGTCTATGGATGTTCACAAAGCAGTGTGATTCAAGGAGGCAGTTGGAAGATGAGACTTATTCACCATTTTAACAAAGGAGATAAAATGTGAAGACAAGGTTTCATCAAAGGAAAACCTGCTTAAGGGCTCCTTCCAAGGGGGCAATGGAAAAGTGATTTTGAAATAAAAGTAAATGAGGGCTGTTTAGTAAGCTTAGTGCTATGGTTTGTGTCTGTATGTTCTCCCAAAAATCTCATGCAATTACATGGTAGTAAGCTTTCAGGAAGTCACTGCATCTATAGTTTGTGACTGGTTCATTGTCTACTGCTGGGATTGGCCATGTGAGTTCTACATCCAACCTAGGGAGAATAGTCTGCACACAATACAAGAGAGGAAAATGCTTGCTCTCTTGCTTTTTTGCTGTCTCTTATTTTTGCTGTCTTCTGCTGCCTTGAACTGTCGCCCTCTGCTATGCCAACTCTGCCTTGGAGCCAGCTTATTATGGACTAAAATCTCTACAAACTTCAAGCTAAATAAACTTTCCCTGTTTAACTTTGGGTGTTGGGTATTTTGTCTCAGCAATGAGAGGAGTAACTAAGACAGTTATGCCGAGTCCTCTCGATTGACAAGATAGAGTATATGGTTCTCTTCCTGATACTGGAGAGGATTTCATTTACCAGTGAAAATGTGTTACAGTCTCCATTATTCACAGTTTTGCTCTCTGCAGTTTTAGTTATCCTATTTATTTATTATGTTTTGAGACAGGACATTGCTAAACTGCCCAGGTAGCCAGCAAATTTGCCATCTTGCTTCAATCTTCCAGAGTGCTGGGATTATAGGCGGCCACCACCATACTTAGCTGGCTATTGTCATTTTAAAAAGGAAATGTATGTCCTGCTTTTGTTAGGCAGAAAAGAAGGGAAGTAAAAGATCTTTTCCTCTGCTTGCACTTTCTAAATTGCCCTCACCTCAAACTAATCTTTACGTGAACGAAGCGTATTTTGAGGCAGCAAACTGTGATTTCTCTTTTTCAGTAGGAACCCAGAAAACAACAGGACAAGACAGCTCATTTGTGTCTTCAATTCCAAGTTGCTGGAAGAATTTGCTGATTACAGGTTATGGGGTTAAGAGGTGGCCAAGGGATCTGCTGTCTGTGAGTCAGGTCCCCACAGGAGTGAGGCTGTGCCCAGGAAACATTGTGAGGCAGACAAAGCAGCCTCCTTTAAGGGCTGTGGATACAGGCTATAGCAGACATGTCCTTTGCAAACCAAATGTATATTACATACTAGATGTTTGATTTAATGCAATTATTAAATCATCATGATCCTACATGAGCAAAACAGATGCTTCATATTCCAATTACTATGCCTAATACATAGAGTTCAACAGCTTTCACTGCAAATGAGCCAAAGCACACACTCCCAGGCCTTCTCACAGATCCCCTCTCATAATCTAGTAGCAATTAAATCTGAGGCTTCCTTCTCTCGTTGGAGTCACCATGGCAAGTCTCTGCAATACTCTGCCATCTTTTATCACATTCTTCCACATTGAATGTTTAACCTCATCTTTTTCAAATTATTCCAACATTACTGTTTCCAATATTTTCATTGTTGGAAGTAAAAGGTTTCCAAGAACATTAACAACAAAAAGCATTAAGTACTGGCTTTTCTTAATGTGGGAGGTATTGTGAGGCACTGCAAGACACAGTGCTGGCCGAGGCATGGATCTGATCCTCTAAGGGAGGAGTCTACATATGGCTAATTACCTTGGAAGACAGACAGCATCAAGTACCTCAATAAAATGCTTTGGCAGAAAGAAGTCAGTCTCCTAGGAAACATTCAGAAAAACCTTCCAGGTGACAATTGGGCCAGGTCTTTAAGGAAGTGGGGGTATAGCACATTCAGAGGATGAGGCAGAGCTCAGTGCCCAGCAATCTTCAAACCTGAGTGAACTATTACTATTAACACCAGCAACCTTCCTCAGACCCAGCTTACCCCACTGCTCCCTTTCCCTCCCCTGCCCCCTGCCTCTGTTTTACCACTCCTTTAAACAATGTACTTTTTGGAGTTCTTGTCCTCTCTGCTCAAACTTCCTCTACAGACATAAAAGGATGAGAAAAAAGGTTCTTTTGCTTCCCTCTCTAGTCCAGTGGTGACAAACCTCTGGCATGCACGCCACAGTGAGCTGTTTGTATCACTGAAAGCTCTAATAGATTTGTCATTACTGCTTTATTCCTTCTACCCTTAGTATGTTTTTCCCAAGGAACTTATCAAGAAACATTATTCACTAATATGAAAATAGCAAACATTGGGAAGTTGCAAAGTTTTCATAATCTTTGAAAAGTTGATTTGATTCTTCCCAGTAGGTGAAAAGAACCTTGGATCTTTGCTGTTTTGTCCCTGAGTGGGGTCACCCAACATTTTCAGTCTTTTAAACCTTGTCCTAGGCATAGCAATCAGCCTGAGGTCCCTCTCTGAACCACTTTGCTCAGCACTTAAACCCATGGTATGAGCAGGGGTTTGATTGTTAAAATGTCACCTGTATTTCTGTGGCTCCTCAAGTTGCGTGACATTGGTTTTATTCTCTTCACTGGCAATCTGGAATTGGGGCATTGACAATTGTAAGCAAAGGATATTTTTGGCGAACTAAATTGGCAAAATGAGTTGAAATTTTGAGGAGAAAAGAACACCACCTTTAGAATTGTTTCGGTTGTTAGGCAAATGTGATAAGCACTACACTAAGAAATGACCTTTGGAATCATTTCAGTTGTATTCAAGGGCCAAAACAGTGGAGGTGAAAAAGTAGACATCTCAAGAAATTCCCTCCATACTGTTTCATTGTGAAAGGAAAGAAGGAGATGAAGGTAAGGCCAAAGGAAAGTGGTTTTAAAGGCTAGCATTTTGGAATGCTCAGGAAAAAATCTTTGGATGAAAGGGTGTAAAACAATCTCAGGGGGAAATTACCATCAGTAGAGCAAAATCTTGTTTGAAAGAGTATGGCACAGATATAGAAGCACAAATGAAGTCTGAGAGAAGAAAGGTAGACAAGTATAGAGGGGTGTTTCAGACCACAGAGACTTTCATCTTCTCAGTCAAGGCTGAAGAAGATTAAGATGTTTGAAAATTGAGATTTAGGAAAGCTAAGTTGAGGAACCTCATGCTGGATTCCGTTGGTCAAGAATGAGGCAGAATTATTTGAAAAACTGGAGGAAGTCCAAGTGCAATAAGGGCTTGAGGAGAAGAGAAATGAGATTGATTTGGGAGAAGTACTCTGGATAATGTGCTTACATACTCCTAATCATCCTCCTCAGGAGGAAAGGAATTTAGGGAATCAGCGAAGACCCAGGCAAGTCTGGATAGCACCAACTTTTAGTGGTAGTGAGTGCTTTTTTAGCCTTATCGCTTATTTAGTAAAGTAATAGCAACTTCAAAAGAAAGCTTTCAGCTTAAACAGGAAAAAAATTAATGTTGAGTCATAAGCTATTTTAGAGAACATTATTCATGAATAATACTTTAATCATTAAAACACATAATACACAATATCAAAATACTAACCAAATGTATTCTGAAAAAATACAAAAAGAAAAGATTACTTGAACAACAAAAAAATTAGTTGTTTTCCTCTTTCTATGGTAGCCAAAGGCATGAAAGAGGAAATATTCATTTTTTTCTTTTAACTACATAAATCTTCCATTCATTAAATTGTATTGAAAAATTTAAAAACCAAAATCATTGATATCTTGATAGCATATTAAAATGTTTTCTTTATAAAAACGTATATTTTACCTTTTCTATTCACCTAGAAACAAATATCAAAAAAGCCCAAAGAAGTCAAAAGCAGCTTATTACCATGATGGCAAGTCACAAGACAGTACTTCTTCACAACTGCTGGTCCCTTCCTAATTCTAAAAATATTTAAGGAGTTCAAATGTTCGTTCACCTGTTTTGCTCCATAGGCTAATGCTACAACTGTCAAATAACTTGCATTGTTTTCTGATATTAATATTTATCTAAGGCAATCTCTTTATAATCCTGTTACAGTAATATAAAAACCACTAATAAAGTATATCTTCTAACCAAAACTTCAGAATAGTAGACATATGTAGCTTGCACACATTAATCTGTTTCCCTCAACAAAATTATTTATAAATTCCAACATCCTATTAGTTCTTTCTTTTCCCCACACAATATGGTCCCTCTTATCTGAGGGGTAGTAACATAGTTTCTTTTTAACAAAAAGAGTTAGTATAAAAATAGCAAAATTCCAGTGAAATCATCAGAAGCTATGAAGACCGAATTCTGGCACCTATGTCTTTTTCCATCCTGTACCTTCTTAGGGAAAGAGCATGCACCTGTCAAGTTCATGGTGGAGAATGCACTCACAGGGATGTTTTATAAATATGTGTCAATGAAGGGGGCTTAGAGGTTTGTTTTGGGAAGCAGGGAACACAGTACATTACGTGTTGGTCACTGGCATTGATCATTCAATCCATGGACTTATTTCCTTACAAAAACATCATCCATAGCTGGCTGTGGTGGTGCACACCTGAAATCCTAGCACTAGGAAGGCTGAAGCAGGAGGATCACTGTGAGTTCGAGGCCAGCCTGGGTTACAAAATGAGTTCAAGGCCAGCTAGAACTGCATAGTAAAACTTCACCTCAAAAAGACAAAAAACAAAACAAAACCCATCATGCAAAGAAAACCCTTACTGAGTCTTCTTTAGGAAGGCAAACTGGGTTGAAGACCCAAAAATCTGAAGCAAGATCTGAGAAAAGGGAATGGTGAGAAGAATAAGCATAAGAGAAGTCAGGTGTCCATATAATGTCAGGAGAGGGCAGTGATTCAAAGGATGGGGTGCAAACTCACCTGGAGAAGCAGAAGGGGCAGCGATGTCAAAGGTCAAAGGGCAAAGCCTCAGCGGCTCCCCAGATGCTGGAAAACTGAAAGGCCCACTCCTGGGCTCTTACCGTCAAGGAGAAATCTAGGGGCTCAACTGATACTGTCTTTGACGCCAGGGACAAACCCTAACATGCACAGTTGGATTGGCAGTAAGGCAAACAAATCTGCCCCAGATTTCAGAGCCAGCGCTCGGGGATGCCTTAGTGCCCCTTTCTCCCACCTCCTCTGGAGCTGGAGGCCGGAGACACCTTCATCTTCACGCCCCACCTTCCAGGCCCTCTCAATCTTAACAGCATCGGTCTCTATGGCAACCTGAAACCGCAGTTCCCATTGGCCCGTTCAATATGAGGGCCGGGCCAATGGGGAGGGCCAGCCTTCTCTTTGCGACCAATGAGGTGGCTGGAAGCTTGTCCAGAGACGGCAGCGTGCTGACGTTCCCGGGAGCCTGGGGCTGGCCGGGCAGGCGGGCTGGCGGCTGGGCGGGCGACGGCGGCGGCCTGTGGGCAGTAGAGGGGGCTCCGGGGCTGAGTCCGCGTCGACGCCGGCCGCGGAGGCGGCACCATGGGCACTGGGTAGAGGCGCGAGTTAGCCGCCGCCGCCGGGGGTGGTGGGAGCGCCTCCCCGGGGGAGGGGGCGGGAGGGGAGGGAGGGGCGGGCACCGCGCGGCCGCCGCACTTTTAATTTTTCGGCTGCCGCAGCGGCGACCCCTCGGCGGCGCGGATGTCCCTGATCCCCGGAGCGACGACGGCCGCCGCCTAACCTGGAAAGTAAGTGCGCGGGCTCGCGAGGGCGCGGAGACTCCTGCGTGCAGCTCGGCCGGGACCTCAGCCCAGCGCCCGGCGACCCCGCGCGGTCCGCCCGGGTCCCCTCCGCCCGGGTCCCCACGCCCGGGTCCCCTCCGTCCCGCCCCGCCTCGTGCTCTGGCGGCCCGCGCCCCTCCCCCTGCGGGCGCACAAGTTTCACCTCCATTTGCTTTTCCCCGCGAGCGCTCCACCCGGGCTCAGGGGCGCGAGCCGGCGACCTCCCCTCCGGGGCGCCTGGGGTCCCGCGTGCCTGCGCTCTGCACTCCCGCGCCAGCACCGCGGGCGGCCGCCTCCCCAGCCCTCGGGCCGTCCCCCGCCCGCTCGCCCGTGCCCCGCAGCCCTGGTTGCTGCGGTCCTGCCCGCTCCCCGCCGGCGCGCCCCTCTCCGTGCGCGGCGCAGCCCCGCGCTCCGCCCTCCCGCTCCCCGGCCCCGAGCTCCCGGGTGCCCGCCCGCCCGCCCGCCGCTCCCTTCTCTTCCTGCTGGGAGGAGAAGCGCGGCTGCGGCACCCCTCGGCGGCTGGGCGCTCCTGCCCACCGCTGGCGCTGCCCGGCCTGTCCCTTTCCCCCTACCCGGGAGGCGAGGGGGCGAAAGAGTGGCGGAGCTGGAATTTGGCTGCGTGTTGGCTGAGTGCGGCAAACGGCGAGCGCGGGCACCGGAGGCGCCGCGGCGTCCGTGGCCGCTCGGGCGCAGCAGGAGTCAGGTGTGCGTGTCCAGGGAGGACCGCGCGCTGCCAGCGGCTCCCCGGCGGGCGACGGATAGTGCAGGAATGTGAGGAATGCACCGGGGACAGAGTCCTCCGGCCCGCCGCGGCACCTCTAGCGCCTTCCCGGCCCAGCTCTCGCGGTGCAGCCAGAGGTCACCGGAGCATCTTCGGAGCCGGTGAGAGCCTCGCTGCCCAATGCTTCTCTCCATGCGGCAGACAGGGCGGCGGAGGGGAAGCCCGGTAGTTTCTTTGGGCTTCAGCTGGCCTTTCGCCTGAGTTTTTGCTGCAGTGGTCTCACCGGACCGTGAATTTGGGGCCGGCTGTGGTGTAACCAAGGTTATTGATCATTGCGTAAGAATCTTTGGAAGTTTGGTGTGCAAGATTTGGATAGCGATTGGTTTTTACTAGGGTTTTCTGAAACCCTGCAGAAACCGGGCTGCTGAGGGTTCTTAGAATAATGAGCTTGCAGCCAACATATTTTAGCTCTCGAAAAATGCCTGTTAATGCTCATGGACGGAGCTGCGCTGCAAGAGATATCTTGAATGCATCAGTTTACTGTCATAATTGTAATTTTTTCCCCTTCGTCATACTGAGCTCGTGTTTAGGCCTCGTATAATACATAATGAATAGAAACAGAGAAGCAGTGTTTGGTCAGCGATGGGACAGATAGAACTGTCTGGTACAGTTAAATTCGGGGCGTGTCAGTTACCACTGGCAGTAACACAGGGACGCCACAATCATGTGTATTTCAAGATGTAATTTATTAGTGGAGGTTGCAGTTCTTTCTCTTACTGAGTTTGACGGAAAAAGAAACAATAGCCCTGCAACTTGTAAAGGATGATAATTATTTATGTGTAAAAATCAATAATGGTTTCTCTGCAGTTTTGGTCAAATTCTGTTTTCTTAATACAGAAAAGCAAAATGTAGGCAGAAGATGATTCTGTAGAATTGAGATTAGATTTTTTAAAAAAGTATTTACAAGAATGCTTTTCTTTTTAAATATCTTACTATTGTATAAGTATCTGCCTTTCTGGTGCCTGTGAAACAGTTATGGAAAATGAAAGTGTGAAATTGAAGAGAGTCAGTGTCTCAAATAAGTGTCTGTATGTTGAAAAGCATTAATGTATGCTTTTGTTTGATACGATGTAGTTTACTCTAAAGCCTCTGCACCTGGTTATTTTGTTTTTAATTTAGTAAAGCAGTCAATTATTTAACCAGTCAGCTGTCTTTGAACCTCTATGTGGATAGATCAAGGGCACTGAAAAGTGTAAGAGGAGAGTCTTTTAGTTAAGGACCTAAGGGAAGGGAAATGAAAGGTTGTATCTTTTGGTTGCTACATTGTTTTTCTGGTATGTCCATAATCAGTGAACCTTTAATTTAGAGGTTTAATTTGTATCTAGTAACACTGTGGAATATATGGGTAGGTGTTTGTAAATGCCAAAGGAAAACTTTTATTATGTAACAATATTGTATCACAAAGGAATTTAACAACTCTTGTTCATTTAAGTTGAGGTCAAAATTAGCATGTAAAAGGAAATTTAGCCTTTCTAGTACACTAGAAATTGGCACATTGCTCAAATGTATTGGTTATATGTGTGAATACATGACTGGTTGTGCAAAGTTTTGTTTTCCTCAGCTAAAGAGATTTTCAATTAGAAATACATTCTATTATTAATGTTCAAAGAGAGGGAGCTTTTTGCTGATGATCTTCCTAATTAAAAATAACATTCAGTTTTGACCAAAGTATATTCTTCCACTATCCCCAAGTATTATGTAAGGAGGAAATTTTGCATTTTGGTGTTGCATATAGTATACCAAAGAATCTAAATTGAGGAAATTTTGTATCCTGTTATTTTCATTCTTTTATACTGCTTTTGCAGGGAGATAGGGCAACAGAGTAGTGATGGAAAACATAAAAGAAGGAAAGAAAAAGTAAAGTCAGCTGGAGTTCTGATAGGAAAAGAAGCTTAGCCCTGCTTTTACAAGCTGAATAAGCCAATTACATTCTGTGAATATTCCCACACAGTAAGAATTTAAAGAAGCTACTGAATTATTTGATAAAAATTTAGCAGTTGTGTGACCTTGAGTATTTAGATTGCGTATATATTAAATCACAATTGCATCGTTATTTTCCTTTCTGATATATAAAATTAAGAAAGTAACTATAAACCTAAATTTTGAAATTCACTTAGCTTTTTAAACTTGTATAGTAAATATTTTCAACTTGTATAGTAAATTATTAACCCAGTGTTAATCAGGGATCTTCTAAAAAGCATTTTTCATATCCTACATGATGCCAACCATCTGGCATATTTAGCTCTTTATCTCACTTCTTTGAAAGATTAAGATATTTTGAGAGTACTCTATTTGATTTTTAAAATTTCAGTAGATAACTCCCTACCTTGCTTAATTTGAAAGTGGACAACATACCTTTATTCTGAACTGAAAGATAAAGTAGAAATTCTTCTAGGGCATAAATATCCATGGGATTGTGTGTCACTGTGGGAAGCTGTCTTCACACCTTCAGTGTACTGGGAGATAATTACTCCTTCCGTGTGTTAAATGGTTCTGTAGTGCTCTTTCTGGACTGAAGGGGGGAGACTAATCTGAAACTTAACAGCTGTGGAATAGGTGTGTTTGCAGAAGTAACTGTTTCATGGCCAGACTTTATATGGCTGCAAATGGAGACAGAAAAGCAGTAAAGCTAAGGATGATGCATAAGCCTTCCTGTACTACCAGGGAAAGGTGCTAACAGTCAGCAGGTCTTTTGCTGGCTAAGACTAAGAAGTGACAGCTTGCTTTTTCTGTTTGTTTGTTTTTTTACAGAGTAAAGGATCAAACCTTGGGTTATCAAAAGCATTGGTTTGTATGCTGTGCTTGCTGGTTTTAGTACATTCAGGTGGTTCTCATATTGTCACTAATAATTCAGTGAAGTTATCTTAATCTCATGGAGCTGTCAACATTATTAAATAGGGAGTATTATATGATGTTACTATTTAATTAAACTTAGAAATTCTTCAGATGTTCCATTGCTGATTGGCCTAAATTTTTATAAGTTAGATTTACTTATATTTGATTTACTAATAAATGTTGCCTACTTTGGTGATCATTTTATTATTCATAGCCTTGATAACACTTTATTATGATTCACACATAATGATTCATCACAGATAATAAAATGTCACTAGGGATTGAATTGTAAAATTTTAACACTATAAAACATTTAGAATGAGAAATGGAAGTAGCTGAGTTTTCAGTCATCACATATGAAGCACTTTTCATGAACTGAGTAACGCCTAGTGGTTGGTAGCTAGTCCCCTTGTCCTGGTCTCCAGTGAAGGGTGCAGAGGGAGGGCCTTTGGGAGCCAGTAACTGTCACTGACAACCCAGGTATGCTTGATTTCTACAGTTAGTCTCTGTATTAAGTAGAAATTTAATGATTGCTAATATCCAAAATGCTGATCCTGCCCTTGCCTAATCTGAATCCCTTTCCAGCAGCACAGCCAACAACACATCTGTCTGTTTGGAGAGGAAGAGAATGTCCCTTCTCAGGGGCCTAAAGCTAGTTACATAAAATATAGACCCTCGTGTATAGTGTTCCAGATTAAATTTAAGTGGGGTGGGTCTTGCCATAAAAATGATATTCTAGTTAGGGAAGACCTATGGTTAACCTAGGCCTTCTAGAGCGGTATGCAGGTGTTTTGGGCCCTGGGTTAGAATTTTAAATGCAGTTTCTCTTAGGAACCCACAGTTAAGTTACAAATCGATTGTTG